ATGGCTAATTGAGTGACTGTCAGTGACTGACATAAAATAAAAATAGCTGATGCACAACCAAATTTAGGACATGTACCTTGTGTATTCTACTATGCTAACTCTCAACAGTTGGGCCCCCCCTAGCGGCCTGGGGCCCTAAGCAACCGCTTATGTTGCTTATGCCTGGAGCCGGCCCTGTGTGGAAAACAATATAAATAATTGCCCCTCTGACTGTTGCACTTCCCCACCTTGTATGTCAGTCTGCACTAAGGCGTTGTTATTGACCAGGGAGAAGTTGGAACCCATTGTAAAGACTTTGCACATGTCTGCGTGGAGGAGTTCCAGGCTGGCGGTGAAGGCCACCCAAATAAGTTCCATCTCCTGTCTCTCCTCCTGGGGCAGTGTCTTATCCCCTAGCCTTGCCGTGAGGTGGTGACGGCTGGCCACCGCTAAGTTCTGGGCCCTCTCCTGCGTTTGCCGCAGCTCATCGCGCAGATGCAAGGTGTCCGTGCACCCACCCACACACGAGGCCAATTGGCGGTAACATGCCACAACCTATTGGACAGGGTCATTTACAGAAGGTGTCACCACTCAAGGAAAAATGAAAGATTGCATACTGTAATGCCATTTTCATGCTATTGTGCCAACCCTAATCGCACTGTGTTGGCTCAGATTTTAAATTTTCATTTCATCTAATTTTATCATTGTTCTAGCAACTCAGGTGGATGTGCAACCAGGCCAGCGAGTGCAGCACAGCTCAGCAAGGCTCAGTAGTGTGAAAAGTGTTGACTGATTAGTCAGAATATATTTGCATTGTATTGTCTAGATTTGTGAGAATAGGAATAGATGATGTGAGCAATACGTTATTGTAGCCAGGACTGTAGGAGATAGAGGGCCAATGGGGGTGAATTATTGCCTTTGTTTAGATCTGCTGCTGACACAACTGTGTTTCATAAACACCACTGGTCTGCATATGGTCTTAGGTACAGTTGAAGTCGGAAGTTTACGTACACTTAGGTTGGAGTCATTAAAACTAGTTTTTCAACCACACCAACATTTTTTTGTTAACAAACAGTTAGGAAATCTACTTTGTACATGAAACAAGTAATTTCTCCAACAATTGTTTACAGACAGATTATTTCATTTATAATTCACTGTATCACAATTCCAGTGGGTCAGAAGTTTACATACACTAAGTTGACTGTGCCTTTACACAGCTTGGAAAATTCCAGAAAATGATGTCATGGCTTTAGAAGCTTCTGATAGGCTAATTGACATCATTTGAGTCAATTGGAGGTGTACCTGTCGATGTGTTTCAAGGCCTACCTTCAAACTCAGTGCCTCTTTGCTTGACATCATGGGAAAATCAAAAGAAATCAGCCAAGACCTCAGAAAAAAAATTGTAGACCTCCACAAGTCTGGTTCATCCTTGGGAGCAATTTCCAAACGCCTGAAGGTACCACGTTCATCTGTACCAACAATTAGTACGCAAGTATAAACACCATGGGACCACGCAGCCGTCATACCGCTCAGGAAGGAGACGCGTTCTGTCTCCTAGAGATGAACGCACTTTGGTTGCAAAAAGTGCAAATCAATCCCAGAACAACAGCAAAGGACCTTGTGAAGATGCTGGAGGAAATGGGTACAAAAGTATCTACATCCACAGTAAAACGAGTCCTATATCGACATAGCCTGAAAGGCCACTCAGCAAGGAAGAAGCCACTGCTCCAAAACCGCCATAAAAAAAACAGACTACGGTTTGCAACTGCACATGGGGACAAAGATCGTACTTTTTGGAGAAATGTCCTCTGGTCTGATGAAACAAAAATAGAACTGTTTGGCCATAATGACCATCGTTATGTTTGGAGGAAAAAGGGGGATGCTTGCAAGCCGAAGAACACCATCCCAACCGTGAAGCACGGGGGTGGCAGCATCATGCTGTGGGGGTGCTTTGCTGCAGGAGTGACTGGTGCACTTCACAAAATAGATAGCATCACGAGGAAGGAAAATTATGTGGATATATTGAAGCAACATCTCAAGACATCAGTCAGGAAGTTAAAGCTAGGTCGCAAATGGATCTTCCAAATGGACAAAGACCCTAAGCATACTTCCAAAGTTGTGGCAAATTGCTTAAGGACAACAAAGTCAAGGTATTGGAGTGGCCATCACAAAGCCCTGACCTCAATCCTATAGAAAATGTGTGGGCAGAACTGAAAAAGCGTGTGTGAGCAAGGAGGCCTACAAACCTGACTCAGTTACACCAGCTCTGTCAGGAGGAATGGGCCAAAATTCACCCAACTGATTGTGGGAAGCTTGTGGAAGGCTACCCGAAACGTTTGATCCAAGTTAAACAATTTAAAGGCAATGCTACCAAATACTAATTGAGTGTATGTAAACTTCTGACCCACTGGGAATGTGATGAAAGAAGTAAAAGCTGAAATAAATCATTCTCTCTACTATTATTCTGACATTTCACATTCTTAAAATAAAGTGGTGATCCTAACTGACCTAAAACAGGGACTTTTTACTAGGATTAAATGTCAGGAATTGTGAAAAACTGAGTTTAAATGTAGTTGGCTAAGGTGTATGTAAACTTCCGACTTCAACTGTATGTATGGATTTACAAACGGCATCCTTTTGTGGTGTGGGGGAGATTACAAGAGACAGTGGAAACATGGATTGTGTTAAAGTATGAGGGTTTCAGTTTAGAACCACAAACAAGCTGCATGTACACTACCAGTCAAAAGTGTTTTGTGTCGCTTGGCTGTGGTCTACTGTCTACAGTACACATGGTCTATAGCTGTCCTCACATACAGTATTCTACAGCATCATAACCCTTAAATCATATTCTAAAAAAAAAAAAAAAAAAAAAAATAAACTACTATGCTACTGTATACCTCTTTCGAATAATTTGTGAATTATTAACAGTGAGGACTGTTTTGATCAGATATGGGTCTGAAATGATCCTTCATCCTGCCCTCAACAAATGAAGACTGGGTTTACTGTCACAAATAATGTGATTTGGAGTGTTTTGGTGAATACTGTCTTATTATAGTGAATACTGTAACTGTACCATGATTTTGTTCACTATTTACTCACACTTCTGAAATCTGTTCCAAAATATGTAACTGCTATTAAAAAAACTGAGTTCAAGTGAAAGACAGCAGAAAGCCACACCAGCTTGGCCAAAACCAATGAATGTTGTTGTTAAAAATGTGGATAGAAGCATAGGCCTACCATGAACCATAACATATATTATGAACAGAAGGTCATGCTAGTTTCCCCACTGGGCACAGAAGTCAGTTCAACATCTAGTTTTGATTTAAATTTGGTTGAGTTGTCAACTAATGTGAAATGGACAAAAAATGTCACCCTGGCATTGGATTTAGGTTAAAAGTTAGTTGGAAAAAAATAATTTTTGCAAATCCAATAATTTTTTCCCCACGTTGATTCAACGTCATCACATTGCATTTTTGTTGTTGAAATGATGTGGAAACAACGTTGATTCAACCAGTTTATGCCCAGTGGGTATTTCACAAATACACCTTTTTTATGTATAGTGACTACCGTAACCTTTACACAAACATACTAGTCATGAAAAATGATGTCTTGACACCTGCTGGTTTAAGCAAGTAATAACAGGCCTACGTTTTGTGACTGACAACATTAATTCATAACATTGTAGCCTGTCTACTGCTACTGCTGTATGTATATAACAACAACAAACTATTCAATCTGCGAATCATGGATGCATAAACACTAAACAGTCTGACATAGCATGAAATCAGTGTATTATTAACCAATGTACTCATTGCATTATCTTCCAAGAAATGACATTTTTATTCCAAACATAGCTTAATATGATCAACAGTCACCCACAGAGTTTCTAGTCGACCCTTTCGCGCGCCGAGGAGGTACAGATGGCTGTTCCAGACTTCTAATATTTCTTACTAGCGTAGCTACATTTGTATGGAGGACTAAAAGTGCCACAATTAAATAAATAAATACACCATTAAATAATTACTTAAATGTGTCATTAATTAATTCAAATTAGAATTAAATACATAAATGTGTAATTAAATGTATCATTAATTAATTCAAATACCGATTCATTTTATGTAAAATACATATATAATTATTTCACTATTTACATTTACATTTCATGATCCTGCATTGCAGTGATTCATGAATTACTTAAAACTGTCAAACTGACCCATCAAAGTCAGTGGGCGGGGCTAACGCGAATCTAGTCTGATCCATTGCTTTGGTCTGAAGTAGAGTAAGCCAACCTGGATAGAGACAATGGAGGATCTCCGTGAACTTTCCAGGGAGTTGGTTAGAGACATTTTAAACTTAGCAGAGGATGTAGAAGCAGGACCTGCTGACATTATCCGGAATTGATTTGTCTTGGCTTGATGCAGAGGGTAACCAATCAGGCGTTAGGTTCCGCCTACCAACTTTTGATGGGTCAGTTTGACAGTTTTAAGTAATTCAGGAAGCACTCCAACGCAGGACCATGAAATGTAAATGTAAATAGTGAAATTATTATGTATGTATTTTACATAAAATGAATCGGTATTTGAATTAATTAATGACACATTTAATAACACATTTATGTATTTAATTCTAATTTTAATTAATTAATGACACATTTAAGTAATTATTTAATGGTGTATTTATTTATTTAATTGTGGCACTTTTAGTCCTCCATACATTTGAATTTATCAAAGCAAGGTATGGTCAGTGACATATTGCTAGCTAGTTATTAATTCCTGAGTCAAAGCAATTGCACACTTTCAAACGGAAAGAATGTTTGAATAGTGACTCCGTTGTTGTTAAGTAACAGTATTATTGTTGCCAGCTGTTTAGCTTTCTGCTTACAGTATCACTGGCAACTTTTGACGGTTTGGCTGGCTAGCAAGCTAACGTTCGCTTGATGCTTTTTTTACACAACAAATTTGAAAACAAAAACAGCAATGTGAATGAATCAATAATTATTTTAATATATTTACAGATAGAAAATGTCAAGGAAAAAGGAAGTCCAAATTCAGGTAAGGTTAGTCTACAGCTTAGCTAACTCCCAACACATTTTTCTTGTTGTTCTTCAGCAGTAAAGTAACAGTAGCCACCAGTCATTATTTGAAATAAATGTGTCTACAGTACTTTACATTGTCCTTTTTTTAATATCATTGTACAGATTGAAATATCTTCTGAAGAACAATGGGAGGAAGCATTGTCAGGCCCAGGACTTCTTGGTAGGCAGCTTTCAAAGGTTGTCACATAGTAAATATGAGCTGGACTTGCTGTAATTAGTGGTCATGCTCAGTCAGATAATGAACTAAGTAGCTGCCAGGCTGCTGTAGTTTTGATATGAGGAGTAATATGCTGATATCCATGTTTGTAGTTATAGATGTCTACCAGAGATGGTGTGGGCCATGCAAGGCTGTGCAGAACATCTTCAGAAAATTGAGGAGTGAATATGGAGATGACATGTTGCGCTTCGCTGTGGTAAGTTATGGCATTTTTAGCTATCATCACCATCAGATTCTGATCCTGGTACACTTCTGGTACCCTGTTTCGGAACCCTGCGCATTAAAACCTAGCCAAACTAATTCTGGTACCTGCCTGTGTGTGGGCGGTCCATGATCCAGACCCTACCAGAACAGTAGCCTGGATGGAGGTCCAATGTCAACACCTGGGTCGTGTTTATTAGGGCATGCAACGGAAAACTTTTGAGAAAGTTTTTCAACAGAAAACTAAAAAAAGGGTGTTTCCAGGTCCCTCCATGTTTCAGTCTTTTTTCTTCCTTTTGTTGTGCAATGAACACAACTTCCGTCTGGGCCTCTGGAAATCCATACTCTTTTTGAAAAAGAAACTGCAATAAATTGTCATAAGTGTCCTGTTTAACTCACTTTCAGGGGGAGGCCAACAGTTTACTTGAGTTAAGTTCACTTAAAGGGAAATGTCAACCGGTCTTCCTTTTCTACTCTGTAAGTATTGAGCTTATAAGAGCACCATAATATTGTCATGATCTTATATCACTGAATGTCACGTTACAGACAGTGTAATTTCTTATGGATCAGAACAGTTTGACAGATGTTATGACATATGACATGTCACTTACCCACTAACACAAGGCTGTGTTAGGACACCTGTCATAACTATATCATAACCATGAGAAGTTTCCAAAAATATCCTGTTGTTTGTTGGTGTAATATACTATTTTGACATTTGTGCTAAGAGTAAACCTTTCATTTGGCATCGTGGTCTGCTCTGCTGTTTCAGGGTGGTGCATTGGTATCAATAGTAAGAGGAGTCAATGGGCCTCTTCTACAAAAAACTATGTTGGAACTGGTGGATCAAGAGAAGAAGAAGCAAAAACTGGGCTCAAATTATGTACCTGAAGTAAGTGGTTCCTAACATTGTCACCTGAAAGGGGTCTGCAGTCTGGTATACTGATTAGCATTTTGTAACCACCATCAAACTTTCAAATAGGTCCAAGAACTTTTCTTAGAGAACAATCATCAAGAAAGAAAAAAGCCTCCACCTACCCAAAATGACAACATAGAAATTGACGGTATGTCACCAATTTCACTGCTAGAATGCTGCTACATCGTTTCTTACTGTATGTACATATTTTAGTTTTAAATTTGTCATGATATTAAATGGTTTGGGTAAGTTTGAATGGAGAGGATTTGAGGAAGTCTTGTGTGTGCCATTAGATCATGGTACATACCATGTGGTCATCATAAAGCCAGATGCTGTAGCAGGAGGTCAAGTGGAAGGAATCATCCAAAAAGTAAGGTGTTTACGTCTTAGTGCTTCACATTCAATTCTTATAGTCTCTCCTTGTTCATGTTATTGCATTTTACTTCAATAATGATATAATGGCCACAATTAACTCACAAATGTATTGTTTGTGCGTAGGCTTTAGATGCTGGTTTTTCAATTGTAGCGGAGGAGGAGAGGGTGTTGGATGAAGAGCAGATTCATGCTTTTTTTAAGGAGAAAGCCGGAGAGGTGAGTGAAAGCAAGATGAAGAACATTACTTCTTACTATGCTGGACTTGTGACAACAAGGAGGGTTCAGTTAACACAATTGTATCAGTATCACCCAATTGCATCCAGATACCTTTGAGCAGAATTTGTAGTTTAACAACAAGAAAAAAAACATCCGTTATTAAAAAATGTAATATATAATATATACACTATCTGACTAGAGTGCTTTTTTTTTGTCTAGCCAGCGTTTGTGAAGGCCATGTCTAGTGGGCCTGTCCACGCCCTGATTCTGTCCAAGGGAGACAAAGTGGGTGAAGGAGAGTCTCGCTCATTGACAGCTATCATAGATCCTGAACACGCTGAGCTCATCCAGGCAAAGAAAAGGTTTGGATTCTCACTGCAGTTTGCGGACTAGATGAAACATTATACATGCATGATGCACAATTGTACCGCATCAGGCAGCCAATTGCGGATTTGAGGGGTTTGATTAAACGCACCAGAAATCAGCTAATATTTCCTTGTTCCTTTCTCTTAAACCTCTAAAAAAATGTTGTTTTTTCAAGCCAAATGAATACAAAGTATGTGTGTTTTGGGTGATCTCTCTTAGGTCAAAGGTGGTCAAGGAGGTGGATCTGGGCATGTCAGACAGCAGCACTGAGATGGCCAGCAGGCAACTGGCATACTTCTTTCCCACCTTTGATTTTTCTTCAGAGACGCATGCTGGATCCAATGCAAGGATTGAAAAGACTCTTGCTCTTATTCGTCCAAGTCTTCTCAGAGAGAAAAAAGGTATCTTCTACTTTTATGTTTTACATTTTATGCCAGAACTAAGTCCTAGATCCTTTTCTGAAACAGGGAGCTGGTTTCAAAAAGTGGTTCAAATGTTCTTAGAGTTGCATTTTTCTGTGAACATATTCTAAAGTCACTTATTATTATTGTTTAGTAATACTAGTCATGCCAATGTGTACCCTGTTGCTCCACCTGTTAATTTCTGTACCTACTGACTGAGATTCTGGTTTGCTTTTTAACATGACCAGATGAGATCTTGAAGACGATCCATGACTCTGGCTTCCAGATAGCAATGCAGAGGGAGGTAACCCTCAGTGAGGACCAGGCCAAAGAGTTCTACAAGGAGCATGAGGGCACTGACTTTTTCCCATGTCTAATTAACCATATGACCAGGTGACAAACTCCCACAGTAATTTGCTTAGTAGTGATGTGGCATGCTGAATGACAAAATAAGATTGATAGATGATAAAATATGCACTGTTTACAGTGACCAAATGTAAGGTAAACGATTGGCTACTGATTGTGGCGAATTGACAGCTTGAACTTTCTGACAGAAGTGTTTTGTTTCCCTTGTTGAATCGCAGTGGCCCCGTGTTGGCTTTGGCTTTGACTCGAGAGGACGCAATCCAACACTGGAGAGGTTTACTGGGTCCAAAAGTATTGGATGTGGCCAAAGAAAGATCCCCTGAAAGGTAGCAACTGGGGAAACACTTCATTTGGCTAGTCCTAGTTCATTTCATATTATTTATGTATGTTCTATTAACTGTCTCTCTCATATCGCCACTGTAATTGTGCTTTATTCCTAGTCTGCGAGCCCAGTTTGCCATCGACAATGTGACCATCAACCAGCTTCATGGCAGCTCCACTCCCGAGGAGGCTCAGAGAGATCTCAACTGCTTTTTCCCCACAGAGCACACACTGGCCGTGATCAAACCTGACTCTACACAAGAACACAAAGGTACAGTACCTGGGTCTCTGTCCTGACTTAATGGTTATTGATCCAGGCAACGTCAATATGTTTGCCCCATTATGGATAGATGGTTATTATAGGTTGTTTCGGTTTGAATGTATTTAAAGTACTCTTACAACAAATAAACTTGCAAATTGTTGCTTTAAAGAGACAAGTATTGTTTCTGTCATGACGTTGAATGTCAATGAAAATTGTGGTTGTTGATCTTTATTTCAGATACCATTATGAATCGAATTAAAGAGGCTGGGTTTAGTATTTCACAAGTGAAAGAAACCAAACTGACACGAGAGATGGCAGAGGAGTTCTACAAAGATCACAAAGGGAAGGACTTCTTTAATAACCTGGTTGACTACATGTCACAGTGAGTTGACATTTTCTTTAACACATTCAAGACCCACAATCATTTGAGATTATGGTTTGCTAGAATGAAACTTCAGTCTTGACCAGGGTTAGGATCTATTCTATTCCATTTTATGAGATTCATTGACAATCTTATTTATCAATTGAAAAGTGCAATTTCTTTTCAATGAGAAATTTTAATTTTAATTTACTTCCTAAATTTATCAAATTTAAATTGAATTGACCCCAACCCTGGTCTTGACATGGCATCAGCTTTAACGGCCAAATTGATTTATCTTTTGTAGAGGTCCATCTATCATGATGATCCTGAGCAAAGAAAACGCTATCGCAGAATGGAGAGAGATGATGGGGCCTGCCGATCCTGAACAGGCCAAGCAAGTCAAACCCGACTCTCTACGTGCACAGTTTGCCAAGAGCATCTTGGAGAACGCCGTGCACGGCTCGTCCAATGTCCAGCACGCCATGGACAATATCAAGTTCATTTTTGGGGATATCCCATTATAAACACTAGAAAAGCGATAAGCCCACACATACTGTAGGTTTAATAATGCCTATGTGTGAGGAGACTTGAACATTGTATTGAATGGACAGTTGGAGTGCACCTACTGTAGAGGTACACTATTGTTTTAGATGTTTCCAATAATAAAATACAAAGTCAACTTACTACAGATTAGAGCAGTCATGTTTTCCCCCATGGACATTTTCATGTGTGTTTTCATGCACTACCGATTTTGTGTCACCATTAGGCTTTTAATCTGTATTTCCATCCTATCCTAAACTTTTCAATGCATCATGTGCTTTATGGCTCCTGCTCTAGGCACCTCTAAGAAATGAACACCTGAGGGCGCCAAATACTTGTCCTGCAGAAACACTTCTGATATTTTCATACAGAAATAAATTATATACGTTGTGTACAAAACATGAGGAACACCTGCTCTTTCCATGACAGACTGACCAGGTGAATCCAGGTGAAAGCTATGATCCCTTATTGATGTCACTTGTTAAATCCACTTCATGGTCCTCTGTAGCTCAGCTGGTAGAGCACGGTGCTTGTAATGCCAAGGTAGTGGGTTCGATCCCTGGGACCACCCATACGTAAAGACTTATGCACGCATGACTGTAAGTCGCTTTGGATAAAAGCGTCTGCTAAATGGCATATTATTAAGGGGAGGAGACTGTTAAAGAAGGATCTGTAAGCCTTGAGACAATAATGAGACATGGATTGTGTATGTGTGCCATTCAGAGGGTGAATGGGCAAGACAAAAGTTTGAAGTGCATTTGAAGGGGGTATGGTAGTAGGTGCCAGGCGCACCGGTTTGAGTGTTAAGAACTGCAACACTGCTGGGTTTTTCACGCTCAACAGTTTCCAGAAAGGTGCACCATCCAAAGGACATCCAGCCAACTTGACACAACTGAGGGAAATAATTGGAGTCAACATGGGCAAGCATCCCTATGGAATGCTTTTGACAACTTGTAGTCCGGCACAGTGGACGAGTCATAATACCCATAAAACCTAGCGGTAAAACCCAGTAATGGTTCCAATAGTTTTTTCACCATTCATTTTTGCGTCTGGGATTTTAGAACTACTTCATATAAGGCCTGTGTTTTGAAGCATTGGAGTCAACATGGGACACCATTCCTGTAGAGTCCATGCCCCGACTAACTGAGGCTGTTCTGAGGGCAAAAGGGGGGTGCAACTCAATATTAGGAAGGTGTTCCTAATGTTTTGTACAGTCACTGTATATTAATGGATTAATTAATCTCTCAGCATTGTGGATGTATGCATGAAAAAATGCTTGGTCATTTCATTTATGTTCCTTATGACATGTTGGACGCCTGTCTGAAGTTACATTGTACAGGAAGTGAGGATATGAAACAGTGTACCTGTCACCATTTTAAGTTGCACTTGTAGCTATCCCATGGCATAGCAGGCTGAACGATACAGTCCAATATAGTCATTGTAAAGTAGTTTTGGTGGTCAGATCTGTATTTTTTCTATTTTTAATTACCCAAAAATGTATTTTAATCATTGTAAGCAACACTTATTGATGTACATTTCTGTAAATTAAAAGCTTGATGTTTGATTTGTATATTTTGGTAATGGTTTTACAAAGATATTAAAGTAACTGATGACAATGAAGTTGTTTGAATGACTATGGACCACGTCTATGTTTTTGAATAAACCTAAAAGTATTTCACAATCTATCTAGACTGGCAAGGTAATGAGGACCCACATGAACTAAAATGCACTTTCAATTGAGATTTTTTATGCAGGACTAGCCTTAATCTGTGTACAGGAAACCGGCCAACATATTCTGTTTTTGTGGCTTGTTCAGGAATTGAACTCACAAGCTTTGTTTTTGGCAGCTTGATTTTAATTCCCCTTATTGTTTTATTATCCAACAAGACATTTGGTTAATTTGAGTAAACGCTTGAGGATGTTTATTTGTTATTTGTTATTTTTTTTTATTTTTTTTTACAATAAAGTGGTTAAATTAATATGAAGCACAATTCAAAGCAGAAAGAACATTCACAATTTTGCAACAACCAAAATAGATAAACTACAGAGTACGATGATAAAATACTTTTTATTCTAACATTTACCCCCATGCCACATTCTGCCATGTTGCCACAGTTGTCTCTTGTACTATTTTGGGTTACTTGACAAAAGTCCATCTTCACGTTTAATCGTGGTGTCAGAAAGTTCACCATTGCAAAGTCCACTTTAAACTCAACCCAAGGACCGAAACAGGAGGGGAAAAAATGTATATTCAAATGTAACTTTCAAAATGCATTTATGCACAAATAACACTCAGATATTAAGAGACTAAAATGAAATTTGAGTAACATTTACACATCAAGCTGACGAGACTGGGATCTCAATCACGATACTACTGTAAATGTAATTCAACCCAGTACAGAACATTCAAGATGTCAAAAATACTATTTTAAAACAGAGGTATCACAGATCGCATTGAGTTGCAAATAACTTGATAACATGCATTGACAAAGGAACAGGAATGAGCATTCAGAGAAAAGGGAAAATGCAGACTTGTGCCTCAAGAATTCACGTTTTTAGATAGCAGTTCAACCAAAAAAAAAAAAAAATGTATTTGTATTTCATCCTGTAAAGATTGTGATAATGATTCTAAGCTATTAATTACATTATAGACAAATGTATTTTTTTCTGCCATAAAACAACACCAATTCTACAGTGGCACCTCAAACCCACTAATTGACTTTTAATACTGAGAGCGGTTGGAATGCCACTTCAATAGCCATTTACTAAAACATAACAATTTTATGTGGTCGTTGGCTTGACAAACCATTTCATGACCATTTGAACATCTGTAGAATAATGTGCAGATACATGCAGCTACTGTTTACAACCATTTTGGCAATTGGTTATATTTGGAACTGAAGAAGACCATTTCTTACTTGACTGTTGATATAATGCCATACACTTACTCTATGACAACATTACAAAGTGTTTCACAGATCAGAGTGTAGGTTTAACCAACATTAGTTAGTGCCATGGTCAGCAGAACATTTATTTACAATGAGCCATGTTGTATTTAGTTTTCACAAAATGAGTCCATAAAAAGGACCGCTCACTCCCAAAGTAAGGCACAGTGACTAAAATATAATATACAGTGCTATGAAAAAGTATTTGCCCCCTTTCTAATTTTCTCTACTTTTGCATATTTGTGATACTGAATGTTATCAGATCTTCAACCAAAACCTAATATTAGATAAAGGGAACATAAGTGAACAAATAACACAACAATTACATATTTATTTCATAAACAAAGTTATGCAACACCCAATTCCCCTGTGTGAAAAAGTAATTGCGCCCTTACCTGGGCCAAAATTCCTCCACAGCAACGTGAGAGACTGATCAACAACTACAGGAAGCATTTGGTTGGAGTCATTGCAGCTAAAGGTGGCACAACCAGTTATTGAGTGTAAGGGGGCAATTACTTTTTCACACAGGGGAATTGGGTGTTGCGTAACTTTGTTTATGAAATAAATGAAATACATATGTAATTGTTGTGTTGTTTGTTCACTTATGTTCCCTTTATCTAATATTAGGTTTTGGTTGAAGATCTGATAACATTCAGTATCACAAATATGCAAAAGTAGAGAAAATTAGAAAGGGGGCAAATACTTTTTCATAGCACTGTATATGCTTCAATTTCCAAAGGACTGGAGTATTATACAATAAGCAAAGAATGAGGAGAACAATGCAACAAAACAAACTGGGGATTCTGTTCACATCTTTCTCACTGTTCACATCCTTCTCACTGTTCACATCCTTCTCACTGTTCACATCCTTCTCACTGTTTACATCCTTATCACTGTTCACATCCTTCTCACTGTTCACATCCTTCTCATCTTTTCATGACATGGACTCTACACCATTTAAATACATACTTGAGGCTACAAGAAGATTCCAAGATCAGGACAAACTTGAACACTGAAAAAACAAAGTATCAATACCCAAAGAAGGGAACGTTTTTCATGTGCTACTTTACAGAGGAACAACATACACAAGCACAGTTCGACATGAACATGTATTTTAACGATTAAAAAAATAGGAGCAGTCCCTTCTCCACAGACACCCTACCCCCGACCCCCAGACACTGAGCTGGAGCCAGTTTGACCCATATAATCCCATGTGGAGCCTGTACCTTTGACCCCAAAGTTTGTGCTATAAAGTATTTCCTCTCCTCACTGACTGGTAAAGTTTGCATGTGGAGTTTGATGTTCCCTCCCTCCCACCAGTTGTTTGGAATCCGAGGAGCACGCCTATTCCTGACGCGACTGCTTTTCAAGATGTTCCAGATATGACGTCAGCTAGTGGTCCCTCATCACCCGCCATCATAAAGTTGTATTCATTGTGTCGATGTCAACTAAATGGCTGCCGAGGGTCTCTGGTGGAGTCGTGGTGAATCAAAAGGTGAAGAAGAGGAGGAGTAGGAGGACAAAAACAGGATGAGGAGATAAGCAAGCATCTGCAACGCGGCAGTCTCAGGGATGATCTGCAACGTGGCAGTCTCAGGGATGATCTGCAACGCGGCAGTCTCAGGGATGATCTGCAACGCGGCAGTCTCAGGGATGATCTGCAACGCGGCAGTCTCAGGGATGATCTGCAACGCGGCAGTCTCAGGGATGATCTGCAACGCGGCAGTCTCAGGGATGATCTGCAACGCGGCAGTCTCAGGGATGATCTGCAACGCGGCAGTCTCAGGGATGATCTGCAACGCGGCAGTCTCAGGGATGATCTGCAACGCGGCAGTCTCAGGGATGATCTGCAACACGGCAGTCTCAGGGATGTTCTGCAACGCGGCAGTCTCAGGGATGATCTGCAATGCGGCAGTCTCAGGGATGATCCGCAACACGGCAGTCTCAGGGATGATCTGCAATACGGCAGTCTCAGGGATGATCTGCAATGCGGCAGTCTCAGGGATGATCTGCAATGCGGCAGTCTCAGGGATGATCTGCAATACGGCAGTCTCAGGGATGATCTGCAATGCGGCAGTCTCAGGGATGATCTGCAATGCGGCAGTCTCAGGGATGATCTGCTATGCGGCAGTCTCAAGGATGATCAGCAACGCGGCAGTCTCAGGGATGATCTGCAATGCGGCAGTCTCAGGGATGATCTGCAATGTGACAGTCTCATGGTTGATCTGCAATGCGTCAGTCTCATGGATGAATTTCAATGCAACAGTCTCAGGGTTGATCTGCAATGCGACAGTCTCAGGGTTGATCTGCAACGCGACAGTCTCGGGGTTGATCTGCAACGCGGCAGTCTCAGGGTTGATCGGCAACGCGGCAGTCTCAGGGTTGATCTGCAACGCTGCAGTCTCAGAGTTGATCATGCTGAAACGCGGCAGTCTCAGAGTTGATCATGCTGAAACGCAGGGGAATTACAGAAGGTGAAAACAAACAAAAAAAAAGGGCCAAAGAAGGTTGAAACCAAGAGGAGGAGTTTAAACCAAGAGGAGGAGTTTAAACCAAGAGGAGGTTGCATATCATGTGGATTGTGGGAAACCAGGTATGGGGGCTGGCATTGTGCTTGGGCGGACTGGAGCTCTGGTTTGGGGGGATTGGTTTTGCCCAGGCTAACCCTCTTCCTCGATCTCCTCCTCCAGTCTCTCCTCAAACACCTTGTCTGGTATCCGGAAACACTCCTCAAAAAAGTTGACCAGCGACTGGCTGAGGTGCTGCCGCGTGGCCTCGCTGTGGATGAAGTGGCCCTCATCTGGGTAGATCTGAGGGGGAACACAACACACTGGTCACCATACATCCATTCACATTTCTCTGGATGCACATCTAGGTTCATATAGGCCATATAAACATATTATTATCATCATCAATCAATCCCCTTAATTCAAAGTATCAGACAACTCCCAGTGGCTGAATTACTGATGAGGCTTAGTCAGTCAACACACAGCGGGACATATAAGGGGACCTATGGGGCAGCGATAAGCTAAACACTGACTTCTAAATGCTCCATATCTTAATGGGATTAGTTGACCCTGTGAAAGCAAGCATCATAAGAGGGGAATATAATCTCATTAAGTGAGATGGGGGGGCATTGTGTGGTGTAATCCCTCTGCTGGTGTGGGATTACAGAACTCCTCAGTGGTTTCTCTGTACAACAGCTCCAGACCAAAATATACTTCCATAGAAATAGAATAGAATAGAAGAGAGACTGACTTCATCACTGCTTGTTTTTTTAAGAGGTGTAGACAAGCTGAATGTACCGAGCTGTCTATTTGGAATGCTGGCACACAGCTCGGACACCCATGCATACCCCACGAGACATGCCACCAGAGGTCTCTTCACAGTCCCCAAGTCCAGAACAGACTACGGGATACGCACAGTACTACATAGAGCCATGACTACATGGAACTCTATTCCACATCATGTAACTCAGTCAAACAGTAAAATCAGATTTAAAAAACAGATAAAACGACACTTTATTGAACAGCGTGGACTGTGAAGAGACACACACACACACACAGCATTCGCAAACACATGCTAACACACGCACTCTACACACACATTTTAATATTTATTTTTTGCTGTATTATTGATTTTATATTGTAAATATGTTATGGTAGAGTAGTGTGTAATAAGGTGTTGTGTTATGTATTGTTTTATTGTATGTAAATTGTGGTTGGACCCCAGGAAGAGTAGCTGCTGCCTTGGCAGCCACTAATGGGGATCCGTAATAAATACAAATACAAAATATAGGACAAATCACTGTTTATCATTTTGATTTAGCATATGAGCAATGTCTCTACTTCCCATGACACATTGTCTTGTGAGTTCCAGTTAAATTGGTGCACCTTACTGATGGTAGCCATTCTATACATCCCATTTCTATGTGTGTCATTCTGGGAAGTACCCCCCCACCTGCAGAGTGTAGTTGGCGTTTTCATTGATCAGCTGGGTGATGAATTTCGCTGTATGCTGGAAATGCACTTTTTCTGGTGAGAGAAAAGGAAACCAACACATAGCGTCTTATTGTTAAAAACACAAGTTATTTTTTTGGGCTAGAAAGGTTTGATTTCAAGGTTCTCATACCATCTGCTGTTGGATGAACAATCAGAAACTTCTTGTCTAGGAACTGAGATGCCCTGTGTGCTAGATTGGCCATCTGTGGATGAATGCCATTGATATTATTTAATAAGCCAATAGAAAAACACAGAGCTCATACACATGTAGTCCAAGTGAAGGCTGAATAAAGAATAAAGTAGGCATACCGCATATGCTCTTGGGTCAGGCTTGGGCTGTCCCAGGTATCTCTCTGAAAACGCTGATGCTGGAAGAGAGGAAGAGAGGTTGTCAAAAGGAATCAATTCATTAGCTCACATCAAGAGATCTAGTGGTTGGTAACAGGTAAGGTTGGTAAAAGCTAGCTCTAACAACAACCATATTGCATGGTATACCTCATATATAAGCATCATAAGCAACAGGAAAGACTACAGATGATGTCATGCTTAGCTGTGGCTTATTTAAAAACTTCTTAGCGACCAGTATTAATTCTTGTCAGGTGAACACTCAAACACATCCAGTACCATACACTACCATTTACTCTCTCTAGCAGCTTTTCAGATAGAAACCTTAGTCTGACACCCACACCTGCTTTAATTCACACTTCCCTTCCAAGTCTCTCTCTCTCTCTCTTTCTCTCATACACATGCTATGCTGTCACACACACACACACACACACACACACACACACACACACACACACACACACACACACACACACACACACACACACACACACCATCACTCGTCCTCTTTTAGCTGAGGTGATGCTGATACCATGGCAGGATGATGATGCTGGTGTGATTAACACTGACAGCATCTGTCTGGCACCATAATGGCACACACACCTTACCATATAGGTCAAAGTCCGTGATGGGTGAGAGAGCCGCACCACATTTAACCAGGGAATCCTCAGCGCTGAGTAACAGACTGGTCACGTAGCCTCCATACACCTGACAGACAGACAGACAGATAGAAACCAGAGATCCTACATCAACATCAGGCTTCTCTACAGGGTACTGTAACTGATGCCTATAGACAGTTACCCTTTGGGTTCATTTCAAGCTCAGTTTGAAGATTGTGTCTGGAGACCCAAGAGCAGTAGATCATTAGCCTGGTCCCAGATCTGTTTGCGCCATCTTCATATGGTCATAGTCATACTATACAGCATATTGAGCACAAACAGATCTGGGACCAGGCTAGTAGCTCATGAATAATGCGAAATATCCCGAGACCATTACTGCAAATTGCAGCTTCCTCCATAGTTTAGGTTCCTCATTGTGTATGATTAGTTCAGTATGAATCTAGGCCTATGTTGACATGCTCTAATACATCAGCTGCCTTTTTCCCAGTAAGACACATGGATTTGGCCGGAGGCAACAGAATTAAGCTTCCCTCTATGAACATCCTCGCAGAGGTGTCAGAATCTATCAACACTACATTTACTTCAGGTGTTGGAATCTATCAACACTACATCTATTTCAGAGGTGTCAGAATCTATCAACACTACATCTATTTCAGAGGTGTCAGAATCAATCAACACTACATCTATTTCAGAGGTGTCAGAATCTATCAACACTACATCTATTTCAGAGGTGTCAGAATCTATCAACACTACATCTATTTCAGAGGTGTCAGAATCTATCAACACTACATCTATTTCAGAGGTGTCAGAATCTATCAACACTACATCTATTTCAGAGGTGTCAGAATCTATCAACACTACATCTATTTCAGGTGTCAGAATCTATCAACGCTATATATATTTCAGGTGTCAGAATCTATCAACACTACATCTATTTCAGGTGTCAAAATCTATCAACGCTATATATATTTCAGAGGTGTCAAAATCTATGAACACTATCTATTTCAGAGGTGTCAAAATCTATCAACACTACATCTATTTCAGGTGTCAGAATCTAATCTATCAACACAATCTATTTCAGGTGTCAGAATCTAATCTATCAACACAATCTATTTCAGGTGTCAGAATCTATCAACACTACATCTATTTCAAGTGTCAACACTATATCTATTTGATCCAAAGGTAACTGTTAAGCTAGCAGCACACATCTAATGTATCTATTTTAAATGTACCATAAACACTGAAAGCTTGCACTGCAGTTGAAGAGTGTAGCTAGCTAACTTAAAATAACCCTCAATAAATTCCTTCAAGTAAGCAGAGATTCAAAGAACCTCCGTAATGATGTTTATACACTGCTCAAAAAAATTAAGGGAACACTAAAATAACACATTCTAGATCTGAATGAATGAAATAATCTTATTAAATACTTTTTTCTTTACATAGTTGAATGTGCTGACAACAAAATCACACAAAAATTATCAATGGAAATCAAATGTATCAACCCATGGAGGTCTGGATTTGGAGTCACACTCAAAATTAAAGTGGAAAACCACACTACAGGCTGATCCAACTTTGATGTAATGTCCTTAAAACAAGTCAAAATGAGGCTCAGTAGAGTGTGTGGCCTCCACGTGCCTGTATGACCTCCCTACAACGCCTGGGCATGCTCCTGATGAGGTGGCGGATGGTCTCCTGAGGGATCTCCTCCCAGACCTGGACTAAAGCATCCGCCAACTCCTGGACAGTCTGTGGTGCAACGTGGCGTTGGTGGATGGAGCGAGACATGATGTCCCAGATGTGCTCAATTGGATTCAGGTCTGGGGAACGGGCAGGCCAGTCCATAGCATCAATGCCTTCCTCTTGCAGGAACTGCTGACACACTCCAGCCACATGAGGTCTAGCATTGTCTTGCATTAGGAGGAACCCAGGGCCCACCGCACCAGCATATGGTCTCACAAGGGGTCTGAGGATCTCATCTCGGTACCTAATGGCAGTCAGGCTACCTCTGGCGAGCACATGGAGGGCTGTGCGGCCCCCCAAAGAAATGCCACCCCACACCATGACTGACCCACCGCCAAACCGGTCATGCTGGAGGATGTTGCAGGCAGCAGAACGTTCTCCACGGCGTCTCCAGACTCTGTCAACGTCTGTCACGTGCTCAGTGTGAACCTGCTTTCATCTGTGAAGAGCACAGGGCGCCAGTGGCGAATTTGCCATCTTGGTGTTCTCTGGCAAATGCCAAACGTCCTGCACGGTGTTGGGCTGTAAGCACAACCCCCACCTGTGGAAGTCGGGCCCTCATACCACCCTCATGGAGTCTGTTTCTGGCCACCCCTCATAGCCTGGTTCCTCTCTAGGTTCTTCCTAGGTTTTCGCTTCTAGGGAGTTTTTCCTAGCCACCGTGCTTCTACACCTGCATTACTAGCTGTTGGGGTTTTAGGCGGGTTTCTG